CTCCGACCGTACCATGTCGCCTCTAGCAAACTCTAGCATGTCGTTTTTTCAAAGACGGGTCCCATATAAACGCGGCCAGAAGTATTTTCAATACTAAAATACCTTCACTAGCTGGGACAGAAAAATATTGTAGCAGGAAATGTCGATGAAACTGTTCTCATATGTGACATTAATGGTATAAATCAATTATTAGAGTTATTTTATGAGTGACAGTCATCTTTTTATATTATTACTCAAAATCTCTATTGTATTTCCTGGTTATTACCTATAAAAGGTAGAGGGAATTATGGCATCTTAATTCCCGTTAATTTAATATCCCAAGGGAGTTATGTCTCTATTTATGGTTAGCGTAACCAAGAAAATATAAGCTTATTTTAACTCAGTAAAAATAAATAATATTAGAATCCTTTACTGATTAGCTGGTTTCGGATTGGATTCTAAGCAGTAGCATTTTACAAAAAATATATAGTTTTTATTTCTTTTAATTTCTCTAGTAATATAGCCTGGATTTTTTCATGAAAGGGATCGAATGGTTTTAAAATAAATATATTCGATAATAATCTCACATTAATACCTCGGATAAACTAGAAAAAAATTCTCCTTCATTACAGAGCGGGTTAACGAAGATGAAAATATTTACCGCAGCCTTTATATACCTGCTTCCAGCGGAAAATATATCGGAAATAATGAGCCCCCGCCCAATGCAAAATGCATTATTTATTTCCCAATTCATCAGGGCCGAACCCGAGGCGGCCGAAATACCGCACAACTCTACCGCCAACGTTCTTCTATTCTACGGAGAGCAATTATTTTTATGCATTTTATAAAATCGATACGAAACCACGGCCGCATTTTGCCTGCGGGATGTGCGGCGTAGCGTTTCAGGCCCCCCTTTTAACGTATATCTTAGTTAAAATCGAAATTTAAATAATAGAAAACTTGTAAAAGATGGTCCACACGCAAAGAATTATCGTATGATTTGCATGCGTCGACAAAACGTTGCAGATAAAACGTAACGTGTGGAAAGTAAATTTGTAAAGTAAAAAAAATTGTGTGCACTATCTGCGCATGTTTAAACTAAAACTTCTTACTAACAACTATTAAATTGAAGGAGTTAAAGAATATATATTTTTTATGAATGCTTCTTAAACATTTAAAAAAAATAGAGTTAATATAAAACCGTATACTATTCTAGCTTTTTATTTTTATTAAAAAACGATAATTCTATCACCCGTCCTGCCCTGGCACCTGTGGCCATTAAACCAAAATACTACTACATCTATATCTCTGACTACTACAACTGCTACTAACCAACAATTTGTTTCGCGTGGTCTGTTCTTGTTTAAATGTTTTGTTCATTATTCACGTTGGGGATTTACTTTTAAATTAATGTTAATCGTTAAAAAAAACATCGAATAACTCATAGATTATGTATTTCTTTTGCATAATCAAAATTGCCATTCTAAATTTTACATAACCAAATTGTCACTCTAAATCGCTGTCTTTTATAGACAGATGTCACTTGTCTTGTCATTATTCAATTCATTATTCGAATTCTCAGGATGTTGTTAACAAAAGTTTCATCTTAAAGTAAAATTTAATCAATCACAATTGTTTATCTCCATCATTTACCGGATTAAAAACACAGAAAATACAATTCAATTACAAAGAATAGATTATGTATAGTGATTTACAGTAATTTTATTAAATTATACAAATATTCTAGTTGATTATTGGTTTGAAATAAATATGACAGTGTCCTCCAATGAAAATGCGAGTTACTAACTCTAAATTTGAATTCTGAGCTGGCAAATGAACTAGATGCCTAGACCGTTATTCAGAAGCTACAAACAGACCATTGGTACACATCAAGGATGGTACAGTATCAAGTTTATTATAGTAATTTTCTTAGCCGCGTATGGCACAGATCGTTCCCATTGTTGCCACAAGCTTATTTTTCATCGGGGTAGATTGTCACGAGATAACGCGGTGAAATTGTTTTACAAAAGCGTAGATCTACCCCGAATGGGGTAGCGTGTGTCACGGCCTTGAATTTTTACTCCCAACGCGCGTAAAGAACTTTCACTACAAAAATTGTAAAGTAAAAAGTAAATTTGTACATATTTTAGAACTATACAAACTCGGAAGACTAAACAAAGCCCTACATGCAACGATATCTGAGAGATTTGAACTGAATCGAAGGTTATCACTTGTCACTACACAACTTGGTCTGTACGTTTTACCTGCAACGTTTAGTCAACGCAGGCAAATCGTCCGGTAAGTCTTTGCGTGGGGACCGGAGTTAACTGTAGGTTCAAACTGCGAAATTAAAATAAATGTACAAGAAACTAATAATATAAAGAAAGTTGGTTATATGGAACATCATTAAACTCTAAGAATATCCAATAAATTAATTACAGAACGTTCAAGTTAATGTAAGTCAGTCGTTTCACGTATAAACGTCGTAAAATTTGAATGATGTACTGTACAAGTCAAAACGGACTCGAAGGACTGAATGGGTGGGGATGGAGAGGTGTAACATGTCAAACAAACTAACTAAAACTGGCTAGAAATTGCCCAAGAACATAAACTTGGGAATAGTTTATTAGGGCAGAACTTTCTGAATAATTAACTACCTAGGAGAAGATATAATTTACTGCTCCATTATATAACTTTAAAGCAAATGAAATATTTTAACGGATTTAACAGAGGTTATGTTAAGGTATTTTGATGGTTTTAGCTAGTTTTTTTGACAAGTTTATGCAAAAATTCAGCATAGACTTACCTCGACCTGCGAGTTGCTGGATCCTTCATCACCATTACTTCTGATATATCACCGTATTTGCTAAAGTACTCTCTTAGGCTTTCTGAAACAAGAAAAGAAAGGGTTGTTTAAAATTGGGAGATGATTGGAGAGTTAGAAAACAAAATATCTTAGTATTATTTTTTACCATTGTGAAAAGATGCATTATTTTTTTTATTTCTATACATGGTAAGTTCTTATCTAGTAAAAACTATCGATAACAACTGTCTATAACCATGGTACAAAGCACTTGAGGTAACGAAAAGCACGTCCATGACGATTATTCATTGTAAGAAACTACTCAATATACTGGGAGATAGGAACAAAGTGTCGCTAATATGGATACCGGGACATGTCGGCCTAGAGGGAAATGAACGTGCTGATTCTCTCGCCAAAATTGGTGCAGGCTCGCCATGCGTGGGCCCAGAACCGACACTTAGCGTTCCTAAAAATCTCGCAAGAGACAGGCTCTGTGAATGGGTTAGGGGTGCGACGTTCCAATGGAACATGCCAAGAAAATCCTAGCAGGGCCATCCAAATATAGAACAGGAGAACTCCTAAAGGCCGGTAGAAATGGAGCGCGTACGCTCACTGCAGTGTACATGGGCCACTGCCGGCTGAGATCTCACCTACAGAGGATGGGACTGGTGGAAGACGCCGAATGCCGACTCTGTATGGAAGATGACGAAACAATGAAGCACGTTATGTGTACCTGCCCGCTGGGGCAGGACCAGGTTTGAGATGTTTAGCAAACCCATGCTAGACCTATCAGACCTAGGAGACATATCGCCCTCAGACATAACGGCCTATATTAAGAGGCTGGGTCTTGAGGGTGAACTTTGACGCTCTTGTATATTAGAGCTTGTAGAAACTGAGCCACAATAGGCCCTCGCGGCCTCAGTGGAGGGTCCCATGGGACCCACTCTTAGTCAATACAAAACCATGGTACAAAGAAAACAAGGTATGATCGATAGCGGCTCTAATTTCGTTAAGTTTGAGCATACCAACTGTGACGTCATCGGCCATACAAAAAAATATCCATATTGTTCAATTGCCACTAATAAAAAAAGATCTAAAGTAGGGAAGAATTAAGACATAACCCCAAAAGTTATGTCAAATCATCGAGCTTGACATTTGTAAAGTTATTTTCATTTATTATGTGACACTGGCGTAATTGGATTGATTATTTTACTAATAATATTAAATTATCAATCCAATTTATATATCTCTCTTTGGTCCGTTTCCCTGAAGAGGGATTAGTGACTATGATGTTCCTGTAGCGGTTTTTATCGTATTGTGCCAGTCCGCTCTGTTTTGAGCCATGCTGACGGTTTCATGAAGGCCTTGGCCGATTAGGTCTTTAGTTTGATCAACCCATCTCTTAGGTGATCTTCCTCGTGGTCGCTTTCCCTCTACCTTTCCCTCGACTATTAGCAGCTGCAGTGAGTCCGATCTTCTAGCAATGTGACCAATATATGTCAGAAAACATCGGTTTATTTTTTTTGAGAGGCTGAGTTGTGAGTTTAGTTCTTGGAGAACTGACTCATTCGTACGATGGGCTGTCCAAGGTATACGTAGCAGACGTCTATATGCCCACATTTCAAAAAGCATCTATTCGCCTGGTATCGCTTTTCTTCAGCGTCCATGTTTCCGCCCCATACGTAGCAATCGGGAAAACAAGCGAGTTCAGCAGTCTTAGTTTGGTATTCTTAGTGATGGCTGTATCTTTCCATATCTTAGTTAATTTAGTTACGGCTGTTCTAGCCAGCGCAATTCTACGTCTTATTTCGCCTTCGCATGAGCCGCTGTTGTCGATTAGCGATCCCAGATATAAGTATTTATTAACCACCTTAAATCCAGCTATGTTTCCACGTGAGGTTGGTTGTTGTTTTGTCGGTCCACAATCATGACAGTAGTTTTGTTAGGATTAAGTTTTAGCCCAAATTCTGTACTAGTTTCTTGGAGACGTTGCATAATAAATTCCATTTCTTCCACACTTGATGTTATGATTAGTGTATCGTCGGCATATCTTAGATTATTGATTTTCCTTCCCCCACAGATACTCCACCTTGCCAGTTATCGAGAATATCACGCATTATGTACTCGGTATAAATATTGAACAATAGGGGTGAGAGAACACACCCCTGCCTGACACCTTTCATTGCTTGAAATCTATTTGATGTGACATCATTAATTCTTATAAGTCCGTAATTATGTTGGTATAGTTGTCGGATAAGTAGAATAAGGTGATCAGGAACCCCATTTCCTTGAGTATTTGCCAAAGTTTTTGCCACTTGACTAGATCGAAGGCCTTAGAATAGTCGATAAAACAGAGATACATTTCTATGTTGAATTCTCGCGCTTTTTCTATTAACTGTCGTACGTTCCCTATCTGTTCTCTGGTACCCTTACCAGGCATAAAGCCAGTTTGTTCTTCTGCAATTTGTGGTAGTAGATATGGCCTGAGTCTGTTGTTAATAATCTGCAGGAGAATTTTGCATGCATGAGGAATTAAAGCAATCATTCGATAGTTATTGCAGTCTGCAGTCGGATTACCCTTTTTATATAGTGGTATATATAGCGAGCTGCACCAGTCGTCTGGCCAAATTCCCGTCTTCCAAATCAGATTGCATATGAAATGAATAACATCAATTACCGGTTGCCCTATTGACTTTAATATCTCAGCAGCTACACCATCTATACCTGGGGCTTTATTTTTTTGAGACGATTTAGGGCGTGTTCAACTTCTGATTTAAGGATCTCCGGTTCATGTTCGAATTGGTTGGGACGATTAATATTATTAGAAGATTCACCATCTTCGTAAAGCTTTGTGCAGTACTTTCGCCAGACTTCAGCAATACCATCCGGATCAGTAATCTTTCGACCATTTTCATCCTGTATAATTTGTGTACGTAGTTGAAACTCACGAGAGAGATATTTTACCTTATTGAATAGCTCTCTAGATTCGTTAGTTGCCGAGTGTCTTTCCAATTCTGTGCAAATCTCGTGGACGTGCGTGTTTTTATCCTGTCTACAGCTGTTTTTTATTTCTTTATTGATGTTTCTTAGTTTGTGTTCTTTGTCAAATGTTGTTGATATGACTAGGTTTCTTCTTTTTTCAAGCAAATTGATCGTATTATTCGACATCCAAGTTTTGGACTTTAATTTAGTGTTTCCAGATGTGCAACTTCCTTTAACTATTTCATTTATCCAAGTCCTAGTGTCATTCCACATTTCTTGTACGTCATTTTTTAGTGTGGGCATTTTTACCGATTTCATTGTTTTCATTATTCCTTCTTTAGTAGGTACTGAATACCTTTTCGTTTTGATCAATTTCACTGCCTGTAGTTTACGATGGAACTTTGCCACTAGGATTTTATGATCTGATCCACATACCATGCCAGGTCTTGTCTTAACATTGGTAACAGATGACCGCCATCTACCGCTTATTAAGATATAGTCAATTTGATTTTTCGTTTTTTGATCGGGTGAGGTCCAAGTTGACAATCGTCTAGGGTGTTGTTTGAACATGGTATTTGTTATTGCAAGATTGTTGTCTATTGCAAATTGTATAAGTCTCTCTCCTCTGGCATTTCTGTCTCCAAGTCCGTACATTCCTATAATATTTTGTAGGTTGTTATTGTCAGCTGACTTTCCCACCTTGGAGTTGAAATCACCTAGAATGACTAGGGGTTCCTTTTTGGGTGTGGCTGATACTAGTTGTTCTATTTCTTGATAAATATCCTCAACTTGTTTGTCATCTGCGTCAGTTGTAGGCATATATACCTGAATAAGATGCATGTTAGTAGGTTTTGTACGGATGGTGACTTTAATAATGCGGTCACTAATGGTTTGGTAACTGTCCACGTATTGTACCATTCTTTTGTTAACCACAATGGCTACTCCATTCTGGCTTGCATTGTCTGAGCCCGACACGAAAATCCGATGTTCAGCAGTTGTAAAGTGTCCCTTACCTTTCCAGTGTGTTTCCGACAAACCACATATATCCATCTCTGCTGTCATCAGCTCACGCTCAATATTTGAAGTTTCCCTACGCTCAGGAGTCCTCGGACATTCCACGTACCAATATTTATCTTGGATTTCTGAGGAAGCTTGTTGTTTTTCCAGTAACTCGAGCTGCAGACAAAGCCTGGTCACCTACGTTTGTCTGCTCGGTTGCTAATTTCACACTTGATGGCCCGAACCCAGTCAAGCGCCGGTCGCTACTCGGATCGCATGGCAACCATATACCATTGTCACGTAACATCATAGTGTTCATGGGATAATAATCAGGTGGTTTCCCCTTGCCTGCCTGATCCTATGCCGTTGGCTCATACTCGTCATCGTATAGCTCATCCGCCTTTTGAGATCATTTCTGCTCTCAAGGACAAGAGAGTGCCCTAGTTTGCTAATTTATATATACTATTTATTAAAAACTTCCTAATACCAATTTATTATTTTTAGTGCCATATTGTAATTCCGATTCAATAATCATAATAAATAGTATATAATACCGCATGATCGAAAAAAAAGTAGCGTCCAGTTGGCTTGAAAATTAACATCGATGACATTCCCCATATAATTTTACATATAAAATGACAGGGATCTTCATATTATAACCCTCGCTAACGCCATTTTTTTACTACATTAAGCAGAGGCCAACAATATTTATCTGGAGTTGCATAAAAACACGATTTCGTCTTTTAGTCCGACATTTAATAGTCGATAATATTATTTTAACAAAAATATTTACGTGAAAATTAAATACCTTACAGATACCCCCGTACTAAGCGCAGTATAAATAAGTTTTTTTCTTGTAAAATTAATTTCTTATCATTAGCATTTTATGGTCATGATACTTTTTTAGGCATGTCTAAATTTTTATTAGGCATTTGTTCAAGTCTAAATATTGGTGCCTGCATTTATGCCTACATCACCGCAGCCTCCGCGCCGTAGAAACAAACGATCGCATTGTGATCCGATTCAATTATAACAATTATTCTTTTCCACAGCTCATCGTTCAAATCTTATGGATCCATGCTGGCCACGATTCAATTGACCGAACCGAATTGTAAGCAATGAATCAATTCTCACTGACTCTTTGAACGCACGATCGCATTGTGATCCGATTCAATCCTCACGATTCTTTTTTACGGATCATCGTTCAAATGTTAAAAAATTAAATTAAATTAATATAAATTAAAATAATATTAATTTAAATAATTTAAATTAAAAGTAATAAATCGAACCTCACGATTCATTTTTAATACTCGTTCAAATGAACGACTCGTTCAATCTTTGCCCACCTCTATAGTGCACGGACTCAAGAGTGACTGTAGGAACAAACAAATCCATGTGATTGTCAGTAAAATCAACTGATCCGTCACCTTCTTCGATTTAGCCACCCTAAACCGTTGTTACTTCCGCATAGAAGTTTATTACCTCGTCTTGTAAAATTTAAACTGCGCGCCATAATTTACCAATCAATAAGGAATCGAGGACCACGAGATTTTCGGTGTATGAATATTAAATAACTTTACATAAATTTATGAATTTTAATATACAGAAGAATTGTGTCAGAATTCGACATATTTTTGTCTAGAAACATGACGTGAGATTTAGTGAGGTTCGGCTTGACATAGGAACATATACAGTTTATACCAAATAAACTTTTAGTCACATGATTAACCTTGACCGGCACAGCGTTGGCTACTTTTATAAATTTTCTTTTAATCAAAATATTTTAGGAAATAAAAATAAATTAATTATAAATATATAAACAGTTATTATTTACATTACATCAACAAAACTCGCCTTCTTAACAGGCCATTACTGCCAGTTTCCCGTTCAACATATTCTAATAAAGTTGCGATGAGTTTTTATGGCTATTAAACTATCTTCGCACTAAAAGAGGTTCTAATAAGAACGAGATTCGACTGCAAGGTCTGCTAGTAAACATTTTAAAGCTTAAAGTATCACAACAGTATTTCTTTAAACCAAAAACTCGTAATACAAAAATAAAGTGTCAAAACGAATGAAAATGTCAGGAAATAAATAAATAAATGCGGCAACTTTACATTTTTTACAGCAGAGGTACCACCTGAACCCCAGCGCGAAATTTTAATTCCAGTTAGTCGCCCAGGCGCCAAATATGTCCATGGTTAGCAACAATGAATTTAAAAATCGCGCGTTTAATTGATATCAAACAGAAATCTAAATTCTAATAAAGTGAACATTATTTAATGTTAACTGATTTGTTTTTGAGTTCTAGACCAACTGAATTATCGAAAACTTTACGCATACAAGGTAATAGCTTACCAATATTCGGCACTTAATCTTATTTTGCATCCTAGTATACCTGTATGTACCAAATGCTTCCGACCCACTCCTTTCGGCTAATGCATATAGATTTATACGTTTGTTTACCGCTCGTATTTCACACTTGAATTATTAATACGGATTTTAGTTTTGAATGATACATACAACAACCGACCGCCTTGTACGAACAGTTGTTTACCACGACCGGGAGACTAATCAATTTTGAAATATGAAGCTGCTGCGGAAATCGCGAGATGTACAATTCATTAGTTCGGAAACTGAGGTGTTGTTTTTGCTTGTTGATTTGTTCCAGTTCGTTTGAGGAATTAGGACATCTCTAGCTAAACAAGGAGAAAATAAAACAGAGAAAATTTGACATATGAAGAGAGATTTTTTTTTTACTAAAAAGTCAAATAACTTAGCTAGAAATTACTTAACAAATCATCACAAAATCCGCCAGCAAGAACCAAAATATATTAAACTTTAAAATACATCAAAATTTTAAAGTGTCCGTTTTTCGTGCCGGTGAGTGTATATTTGTTCTTACGTCTAAGTTGTTTCGCAAACTCCGAAGTCAATTCCCTCCATGCACTTATTAATCAATCAATCAAAACTAAATAAATCAATTTAAGACTTCTTCAAATTGTTCTCTCATTTTTCTAGTATTTTCTTTTGCTCTTTTACACCTTTTCCCTATACCTTTTCCGAATCTTTTCACTTTATAACAAGCCCAGAACAGTCGGGAAGGAAAGAACGGCGTCAGCTGCCAAACTTCCTGGATATGGAACTGAGAGTGAGCTAAGAACCAATATAAACTTCTTAAAGTTGAGTAACGTCGGGAAAACGACATATTAAGCGAAATTCTCGCGTAGAAAAAGCCTGATCTAGATAGGAAAACTCTCCTCGACTGTTTTTCACCATCGCATCGGAGAGGAAGTTTGAAAAGATTCTTAGAACTTAGAGCTCCTCGAGAAAGTTTGTAGCTTTTTAAAATATATAAGTATAAACGGTGTAGTTAAATGATAAAACTTAATGCTAAATCGTTTAGAATAATGCTTCTTTGTACTAGTTTTGTCATTGGAAAGGATTACAGGATTAAATTGGAATAGGATAACCGGTATATATTTTTAAATTATTCATTTGAAAATATTTGTTGGAACTACTATGTGTTGGTATTTGAGTAACCCGATTTTGGAGCGGAATTTTTTTGTAACGTCGTGTCACGCTCCACAACAAATCGGGAACCTGTTAGTGAAGAACTACGATCATAATAACGACAAAATTATAAATTTATAGTTTGCAAATAAATTTTATTTGTAATCGCACAGTAACCACATAGCGACGCGACGTGTTTCGTTCCAGCCGTCGAGCTTTTAGGGTCGCGAACAGGTAACTGGTAACGACAACGATCTAGACCGCGAGGTGTTTCGTTCCGGTTGTCACGCGACTGCTGGACCGCTTCTAGCACAGAATATCTACCTACGCAAATAACATTTTGATAGTCTTATCAGCGTTTTTAATCTTTTAATTGTTTTTTCAAAATTCCTTTATTATTTGAAATAATTGAAGTTGTTGGCATTTTAAAAAAGCAATAAAAAAGATAAAAAACACTATAAGACTATCAAAATGTTGATCTAATAACAATTTGACGTTTATACTATTACGTCAAAAGCAACTTTTTTCCAAAGCCTACCATGACTTCACTGAATCATGGTTTCTTGTTCACTGTTATTAATATCTTAATTATATTAGATATTAATACCTTTGGTATTATGGTATTCCGGCATTTGGTCGATTTTAAAATAAACTAACTGTTTCTATCTTATTTTTTGTTAGAATGGGCAGAATTAAGAGGGCTACTGATACCGTTTTGTAAAAATATGGTAATTAATGGCTTATTTTTTGGTATTTATTATAATTTTGCTCATATCTTCGGTTTGAAAGAAAATATCAAGATGTGGTTTTCGCTGACTTTTTAAGCTTTTACTACTCTTTACTATCAGCTAAAATTACATATACTATTGCATTTAATTTTTTTGAAAAAACGCGCAATATTTGTTAAATTGTAAGACAACGCCCTCTAGCGTCTAAGTTCAAAAGTTTATTATTATTGTTTATATGGCACAATATAGAGTAAGAAACGATCTTTTAAACGAGCCCTCGCTTGTTGGATTCCGATCATCCAGTCCAGAGTTATTAAAATTTAAATAAAAACAGATCTAACCTTCCCCCACCACTTTATTTTGGTAGATAGGGGAAAATGGTTCTAACAAAAAATATTCAAAATTTACTGAAAATTATGAATCTATTACTTATAGTACATCTTATCTAGGCAAAATTGTGTAAAAACTCCATTTTCTTATTTTTTTGTTGCAGTTGCGCCCCCTGGCGGTCGTTCCACAAATTTGAAAATAATTTCCAGCTATTTCCCATAGCCTCTTTAGTTATAAATATTTTTTTCCGCAGCCCCTACGGCTAATACTTTCCGAGATACAGCCGAGAGCTATTCTTAGTGGGACACCCTGTACATTGTGTATTACGATTATTGCTTAAAATTGAAGGATGAATTGAAATATGCAATAATATACAGGGGGTTTCATTTAAAAAAAATAATGTTTGATGTGTGTGTAAAAACCCATTACAACAGTATCACAGTTTCGGCAGAACGGCATCATTAAATCGAACCAAACACATCGAAATTAATTAAATCAAATTATTGTTTAAGTGATATTTTCAAAAATCAATAACTCGGAAACGGTTGGTTTGAAGTACATTGTGTGTATGTCGATTTTTGTTTAGAATTGAAGGAAGAATTAAAA